ACACGCGGGCGGGCGCACTCACCTCCACCTTGTGGTGCAACGTGACATCAGACATGAGCTCTTCAAGCACACCACACAGCTCAGTACTCACGCGTGTCCAAATGCAGATTGGTGTCCCTTCCGCATGTCCTCCGAGTCTGGCGGCTGCCCTTTGGCCCAGTAATCTGACTAATCTGGTCAGGCAGAAAAACAAAACAAAAGTGGAAACTCACACACTGTAGTCCATAAAAAAGTTGCTTCTTTAGTAGTCCATAAAAAAGTTGTTTCTTCTTTTCTTTTTAATTTGAGTCATTATTCGTAAAGTGGCAGACTTTTACTTTCAACCCATCCATTTCCAAACGTGCCGCACTCGCAATGCATCTGTTTGAGCGATTCACTCGCGGCTCTCTCCCCACACCTAAAGTACAATGAGCAACCTCCTTTCGAAAAACAAATGAACAAAGTCACGGGTGCATTTGTGGGAATAGTTTTGAAACAAATCTGCCCCCCCGATGTGAAGCCATCACACTTCCACTGCTGATAGCAGCTTTGGTGTGGAAAACATACAGAATAGTATTCAAGTCAAACGCTGTTAATTGCTTTTTGATTGACAGCTGAGGTCTACTTGTCGGCGGCGTGCTAGCTCACTGCCCCTTTGCTGACGTTGTTTTTTACGTTGAGTCACAAAAACAAAACTAAAGGAGCAACGTGTCGTAATAACTCTCCCCAATTGTCTACATCTATACACTCGGAGATAAACTGCGAAGTCAGTTTAAAATGTTAAAATTACTCACTGAGAAAAGGGTTTGTGGACGACGGAAAAACTTGCTCATTGAACCGGATATGGTACTGTTCTTGTGCTTGTACTTATTCTTCTTCTTGGTGAATTGGATTTCTTTAGTTCATATCGCCCCCTACAGTCCGGGAAACCACAAAGGCGTTTGGCAAGCAATCTGAATCGAATTTACAGTATTATCCCCGTTTGATCAAAGTAAGGGAGAGTAGATTGTGCATTGTGGCAACATCTGTCCCGTCAGAGAGGGTGTTCTCAAAGACTGGACAAGTTGAAGTATTTCAAGTTGAAGTATTTAGTTTTGTTGACGGCAAATTTAAAATAAAGCAAGGAGTAGCTTACGGTTGTTAAAATAAAGCAAGGAGTAGCTTGTTTGTTTTGTTCACTGCTGCTATTGCAGTTAACACTCACTATTTTTGTTATGATGCAGCATGTTTGATTGTTGTTGGTTTAAGTTTAATTTTGTTGCTTGTTTATTGTTTGGACCCTTTTTAATGTTCAATAAAATAAGTAAAAAGCCATTTCTTTGCTTGATAATTGTTGCTATTTGCAGTCAGTAGAGTGCAATATTTAGTTCACCAAGTCATTTATCAAAATGTATGCTAAATTTGTCATAAATATTTAAAAGAAAAGCTAAAGTTAAAAGAGACGTTTGAGAGCCAAAAGGAGCCGGCTCTTTTCACTGAGCCGATCCAAATGAACCGGATCTCACTGAGCCGATCCAAATGAACCGGATCACCGAAAAGAGCCGAAAATCCCATCACTACCCCGTACAGAGTGAGTGACACTTCTCAAGATGACCATGTGAGGACTGTATTAACCCTTTCGTGCACCTTGTAACCTGATAACACGAAAAACTGTCCACCGTAGTAACCGCTGTACCTGAAAGGGTTAAAGTGCTGGAAATGGTAGACCGCATTAAATGTTAAGAAATAATGAAATAATTCACTTAAAATAATCCCTGAACGGATTTTAAGGGCTTTTGTCTTTTCTCAAGTTCACACTTTTTAGGCGATGTAAACAATAATGGAAATCTTTGCAGCATGAACGTGGAAAGCTGCAAGACCGTGTTAGAGTAAGACTTGGTCCCTCAAATGATGAAGTACACTCAATTGTGAATCAGTGCAGACACAGCTATCTTTTATCCAGCGTCACCCTGACAAAAATGGAGACAAATCAGTCCGACCATGTTAATCAATAGCGCTAAAAGGCCATTTTGTTGATGTGTCAATGCAGATGGTGGTACATTTTGTCCACGATGACCACTAATAAAATGTAAACAAACAAATCAATGGGACCACCTTAATAAATAGCACAAAAAGGTCAGCACATCAAACAGAATAAATGATCATGAACCATTTTGGAGCTCCAAACTCCAAACCCTAATTTCATAAACTGCTGCACTCATCAGGAATCATTTTTGTTTTCGCTTAGTGCCTTTCTGTCTGTCCTTTTCATTGTTTACCAAAGGTTACTGCTGTGTCTAATTAGCATTCTGTCGTATTTGACTCTGCTGACTGAAAGGTCACCAACCTTGCCTGACAAAGACACTAAGCAAGTTGCCTGCTGACGATTGCTGTGTGTTGAGAGAGTGCCTCTGACTTATTCCCATGGCGCCTCTATAAAAAGAAACACAAGAATGGCATTATATCGATGTCTGGGAACAATCAGGTAAAGCTTGAGGATTATACCGCACGTAAAAACAAAAAAAACTGCCCTGCTCCAAAAATCACAATTTTGCAACTTTTCCATTTTTTTTAATTGTTGATATGTGGGGTTTTGGCTCACATTGTTAAAAAAAAAATCTGGAATAAGATCCGCTCACATAGAAACAGTGATTTAGTATTCTTGTAATTGCTTCACACAAGTGCAAACTGAGCTGAATGAATTTACATTAAAATTACCGGTAAATACATGCCCAGCACTAATACTACTGATGGCACACATTGTCAATATAGGAATGTTATTTCTAGAGCACTTTTCAAAACAAGTTGAACACACAATATTATGAACAGATACTATGAAAGTCCAGCTATCATACATTGAAGGAAGCAAATAAACCAAAAAGGGAAATATGCGACAGTCACAGAAAGTGGCTTAGCATCATACAATAACAGGTACTTTGTATTATTATCAAGGATGAATGGCAATACTGCATCTTCCACTGTTACTGCATGGGCCTGAGATACTTGGGGTTACTGGCTAAACCATTTCCTGCAGCTCTGGCAAAATGAACCATTCATAACAGACTCTATTAAAACCCGCCCTAATTAATTACCATTTGTGCAGTGGCACTGATCATTTAATCCATATCTGGGGCTTGATTTACTATGGAAAATATGTGGCACCTTATTGTTCTAGTGGTCAAAGCACCTGGCAATTATTTTGAGCAAAACCCTACACTGAAGTATAGCGGAGGTCATAACATTAAGAAATAAGGTATAGTCCGCACAATGTTTGCCTCTATATATGCCTCTATATGCCACAAGGTGTAATTTACATTTCAAGTTCAATCAGGCAGGCAGACCGACTCCCTCCTGGATTTAAATATTTACATGAATTGAGTATACCATCCTTTTTGCAGCTACGATGAAATCTGAATAGGACTAAGTTGTGTGTTGTTTTACAATACATGTACACTGGACATTGACTCACACAGTAAATACAATACGTTATGTCAAAGTGCTGTAATGAACAAAATATGAAGCTGTTCACTCTGGGCGGACACATTTTCCCAAACATACAGCAGCAGCATCCTCGGTGTACATTAGAGCAAACCTCAAGGTACGGCATATTAGGCGAGGTGCATATAGACAAGTGAGTGTTAGTGCAGTGAGAGCGGGGGAATCATAACAAGCAAAATATGTCAGAATGATGCAACAGGTTACAAAACCCGACCCTACAAACTCTGGATTCTTGTCCACTGGCTATTCTTCTCAAATGTGTTGTTGATATATTGGCTGTCATCATCATCATTTTCTTGATAGATACTTATTTTTCCAAGGATAAAAATGAAATATCTGGCACATTTTTGGGAAATGTATTTCAATGTTGAAATTCAGTTCTTGGTTGAATATGATCAACTCCAGTTTTGGGGGAAGGATGTGCTTCTATAGGATCTTCATAACTATAAAGAAGCAAAGTTTGCCCAAGATCCAGATTTTTTTCTTGCTCCAAGGGAAATAAAATGTCAAGATCACACTCAAAGCCAGTGAGTGATTTCCTGACTGGAAAAGATTTTAGCCTTCACACCCTCTGAGGGCTGTCGATAGATCCAGCAATCCATCATCACCACTTGAAGCCTATCCCAGATAAGCTTGCGTGAGTGGCGGGAAACCCCCCGGACCGATCACCAGTCAATCACAAGACTGACTCATACAAAACCATTCATTGTCAATTTTACAGCCAATTGCGACTCAACCTAACAAAACATACTTTTGGACTGTGGAGGGGAAAAAAAAGTCAAGATTTGAACCCAGATCCCAACCCAAAGCAGCTCTAACTGATCCATAACTGTCATTCCACTCCCATTATTTAAAGAGAACACAAACATCCCACCAGCTGTTTCAAAAATAAATATCAAAGTAGACCAGAAATCATTGAGTCCTGGTTACATGTGATGTCTCCTTGACTTAAGCGATTGTCGCCTCTTCCTCTTCCTGTGGCACTGCTCCCTCCTCTCCGGCCAGGGGAAACCACTCTCAGTGGCTCGGACGGCCTCATCATACTCATCGCTGTCACTGTCCGCCTCAGCCACTGGGAAAACTCTGCCTGGGAACACTTCTTTCAGCTTGGAGGTGAAAAACGCCTCGAGGTTGCGGCCAGCTTGCGCCACCTCCGAATCGGGCTGTGGTCAGACAGGAGAACAAAATGCTCACAGCGAATCAACAACAATCAGAACACAAACCCAACAAATAGAAGTTAACATGTCAGAACTTACATAGTTGAACTTTGCACAGTTGTGGAACATGAGGTAGACGTCAGCCACAAACTGCTCGGTTGAGTTGTAATGTTGCGTGCTCCTCTTGTTGAGTCTTGCTCGGATGACGGACAGGTCGATAGGCCTCTTGATGATCTGGTAGTAATGACGAGCCTGCACCACGAAATATCGACATTCGATATGTTGACATTAACACTACTTATTTCAAATTCAGCAGCATTCATTCGTCCGCCGATTGGTTAGCCCTTTCACGCACACTGTAACCTGATAACATGATAAGCTGTCCACTGTAGTAACCGCTGTCCCTGAAAGGGTGAATGAGCGCAAAACGTGTAACAGCTAACTTTGACAAGCAAAACAAGCCTGTCGTGATCTGCACACATTCGCACATCTAATACACCTACTTTTGATATTTCTGGTGAGTGATGTATTTTATTGCACATAATTATGCTTTTATCAACATTGGCTGAATATTGATTCTGAACTGTCATATTGACTTTTTGGAGAGTTTTGATGGTTTCTATTATGGGGACCTGATCGCGGTGGGCATTAAGAGGCGGATCGTGTCCCCGCTCAAGGCCAAGTTAGTAACCAAGTGGACAGCCCGCAACTGTGGCCATGACATTACATAATCACTCAGCTCTTGATAATCTTCATACTTCTTCTCCATTCACCTTGACAAGCGAAGAGAGAATTTTGTTGCTTCAAGGACAGCATAAACGGCATAGCGCAAACCATTTAAAGCACTTTGGTTTCTGCATAGGGGCTTTCTTTCGACTTGCAGTGAAAGAAACGAAAGAATGTATGAAAAGCACTCACAAGTGGACTGACAGGCTCATGAAAAGGAGCACTCAGGATGTTATTGAGGATCAGGAGGGTCAATCGCTCACATTTCTAAGAAATCATTGAAAAAAAAAAAGCAAACAAACCAAGAACACAAGTGAGCATGTGCATCATCAGTGATGTTTTATAAAAGGACTTGTCACTTACTCTCTGATCGCATGCAGACAGGCCATGCCCTGACGTATGCTCCCCGGATGCTCTTCTATTTTCACAGTCATACTCAACCTGTGGCTGCACAACATCTCTGCACAAG